AAATTTGAATTGCTTATTAAATAAATAAGCCTTGACTAACATTTTTGTGTTTATTTTTATTTCTGCAATCGATCCTTTAAAAATGTCCTACGAATATTAATAATAATGTTAATAGTATATTTAACAGATACATATTATTTTGTAAGAAATAAAATTTGACACGAGTTAAATTTGGATTATGCTGGATTTTAAAAAAGAGATATTCTATGAGAAAATTTATAGAGAAAAATTGTTTAAGAGAATACTGTTCGTGACAACGTATTGAAATTATTAATTTCTATATAATTGTCATGAAATAAAAAATTCAATTTCAACAAATTCACCTGAAACAACGAATAATTTATTACCTTCTATAAAAAATGGATCGGTATATTAATAATAAGTAAATAGTAGTAGAAAAATGAAAAAAAAGAAAAAATAAAGAAATACTGACTTTGTGTCTGCCGATTACTACTGCTTGGCTGAACAATACATCCCAGAGTAACGTTTGTTTAAAGAGAGATATTACTCGATACACCCTTCAAGAAGATGCGTCCTTTTGTGTCATGGAAATAAAAAAAGTGTGTTAGGAAATATAGTCACAGATTGAAGCAATGGACATGAGAATAAAATTTTCTGTAAACACATAATCAATAATTGTTATATTTGTGCTTTAAATGAGTATGATATTCCAAAATTATATATCTTCGTTAAAGCATATTCTTTTTAGTACAAAAAGCATAGTGAGTCATATGTACATGCGGCAATATTTTTATCAAAACAATCAATTTAAAAAGATGAAATCATTTCGATTTTATCTTTTATAAAAATAATAACAATAGTGACAAATTTAGATTCTTTAGAATATAGTTTAGTACTTTACAATTTTGATAATTTTCAGATGTATTGGTAATTTTATAATGAATATATTCTCTTTAAATTGTTACATTGCTCTTTGGTTTATTAACTTAGACCATGCTTTTTAGAGAATTTCAAAGAAAAGTTATTTGGATAGTTAATAAGAATTGGTCTAATTATTGCAAAGAAATGGAGCAATTAATTACGTCAATTTAAATTCACAGTAAAGAGAATAACGTGGTGAATCGGACAAAGATAAAAGAGAAACACTTTTTCCTTCTTTTGAGCATGATTAATGTTTTTAATTCTCGTATAAAAAGTGGTTGTGTCAGTTTTCAGAATAAACGAGCTCGAATATATATTACTCGAATACCAAATAAATGTTCTTCAAATACATTAAACTACAGAGACACGTTTTTGGCAATAATCGAAATTTCCAAATGTCACGCGATTTCCGCGCGAATTTCGATTTCTGTCACGAGAAAACGTTCGAATCGATGTCCGCGAGTCTCGACATGAATTTCCAATTTTTATTTTTGAATTTCAAATTGCCTTTTCTGATTCATTATTATTGTAAAAAATTTATTGTTATTTTATTTCATTTGTGAAAAATAAAAAATATACAGATATAAAAGCAAACAAAACTAAATGCGTGTTAAGATTGTTTTATAAAAATAAGATCCAATCGAGTAAAATAATGTATTTAATAACAGTTTTAATACTTTATTTAAGTAATTTTATTTTATTTTTTTTTTTTGAATATATCCTGGTTATTTGAAATCAATATTGCAGGAAATTCAAAATTTGAATCTTGCGCTGTGTATTTCAACTATACTTTGATATTTTCGCTTATTGACCTCACAAATTTTTATGATACTTTTTATCCTCGTGTCTAAATTCTGAATTTATTTTCCTCTTCATTTTTATATATAACTCTTGACCTAAATTCAATATTGAAGGAAATTTAAATTCACAAATTTCACGTAGATGTAAATTTTATCCTACTTGTAAGTTTTGTGACTAATATTGAGATATTAGATATTTATTTCAATTTTTTTATTCATCTATTTCTATCTATAAACATTAATATATTAATTGAAAAAATATGAAATTACAAATTATATATATTTAAATTTTCAAATAATTTAAACTATCTATTAAATTTTTAATTTTTAAATAATTATTTCAAATATCGAATATTGTGAAATATGTAAAATATTATTAAATGATTGATTCGATCAGATTATTGTAGAAACTTGGATGATGTGTAACATTTACGCCTGATATTTAATATTTATCGTATTTATTTATTATACATTGACATAAATTTCAAACAAATACATTTAAATATAAAAATTTTATGTTTAAATTTTATATATCATTTATTAAATTTGATTCCTGATTTTTACATATATTTTATAATTATTCAAATTTTGATTTTATTTATTTATTATTACTTCTTTTTATATTTCCATTTTAATATTTATTTTCTCACTTTTATTATTATTACATCTATAAATAAATTATGTAAAATAAATTAGAAAATATTAAATGCAAAATATTAAATTTATTTTTATTTTGAATCTCTTACTAAATTCAGACTCCTAATCCAGGTTTATGCGAATTTTTAAATCGTCCAAGAAAAACGCCTGTAATGATTCATAGTAGCGTAATATTGTAAATGTGAAGTACATGTAAAATGTGAGAGAAATAATGTCTCTCTTTCTACGATGTTTTCCGAGAAGCGATATAAATGAAAAAATTCATAAGCAAAATTAATAAATATTATTTGCGATAATATGAAAGTGAGGTATATCAGAGAAAAAAATCAATAAGTTTGATGGTAACTAGAAATAAATTGAAAAAGAAGAAATGAAAAGATAAAATGAAAATTGATTTATCGATTTATGAATGTACATATTTATTAATTTTGTATATATTTATATTAAATTATATTTCAGATTTTCAATCATTTTTATTTTCTTCTGATATTTAATTCTCTAATTAATTCTCCTTCACAATTTCAATAAAATTTTACTACTGTAATGACAAAAAAAAAAGTTAACAATTTTATTTTTTTCCTTTCAGATTCAAGAGATTTTGTACGAATTTGGAAGAGAAATCGTTATGGTGAGTAAACAATTGAATTTCATAAATTTTACAATTTAAATGAATAGTTTTAAATACCATGAATTAATTAATTAAAGATATGTAGTACAGGATTGAAATGTACTTTTCAAAGTGAAATCACAAATGTTAATTATTAAAGATAAAAAGATAAAGAAATATCTTGAATAATTAACATTAATCCTCTATTTCATTTAATTATCCCGTTAGGAAATATTTTATCCACATCCTTATTTTCTCAATCACAAATCGATAAACAATTTTTAAATAACATGTAATTTATATTAAAAATATTGTCGATCCAATTTAAATTTTTATTCTATTGTTTAATTAACGTTACCGCGTAATACGAAATTAAATATTTTTCAGTACCAATAAATTATAAAATTACCAATTATAAAATATAAACAAATAAATATCGAATTTATTTTTTGCTCTCTAAAAAAACAACTACTTTTCCCTTTTATTTCAACTATTATAATATTATTTGTAATATTAAATTGCATTCGTTTGCATATGCTGATGATACTATAAAAGAAACGTAATATATATATAACTCGACATTCTATGCTTTTCACGTGGAATATATCGATTTAAAGATTTTATTTTGAAAGATGGAAAATATCAAGGTATACTATACTCGACAAATATAACGAGATCCTTAATGAAATCGTTTCGTGAAATCGATCGCCTTACCGATGTTATTTTTGTCAAAAGCCCGCACGAGGATTTGTTGCGTGTATTCGCGAAACAAAATACATGTGCGAATCTTCTTTGGCATTTTTTTGGACGATGGCCAGGAAAACCAGCGTGCCATTCCATCCGACACAGAGTCTGCTACTTGTCAATGTTCTCGTTAACCCATTGAGATTATGGATCAGAATATCATCGAGCGATGGATCACGAATCGAAGGTCATTGTCTGATGCGTTCGAAATTACCGAATCGTTGATATAATTTATTCGTTTAATAAAGATCGTACAAATATTTCCTGCCATCGAGTCTCTTTTGCAGATCTTATCTTATCTGAAATTATTGTGTTTAATTTTTAGAATTTTAAATTGTAATTTTTATTTATTTTTTTTTTATACATACATACATATATATATATATTATATTCTTCTGCATTTCGTTTATATTATTCTATTTGTCAATTTTGATTAAAATTCTTGATATAAGGTGAAATTAGATAAAATAAGGTGTACTTTTTTCATATTCTTATATTGCAACTCATAATTCGAGATTTATCAATTAATATTATTATTCCTCGTGCATCATTATCACTGTAATTTATTTTCCTTTTCGATAAAAGAGGGAAAAAAATTAAATTATTGTATCGACTATGCGCGAAAAAGAAATCCGATAATACGGTAGTTACAATTTCGAGTGAATAAGCATTTAGTTGAAAGATTTACAATTCAATGGCGTTTAAAACAATGATATGTAATCTCGCGTCAATTTGAAGGATTTATGAATCGAGGTGTGCAAACTAGAGAAAATAAAAATGAGAACAATTATTTGTGCGTATATACATTCTTTTCCTTTTTTTTCTATTCCTTCCTATTTCATGCTCAAAAATTTGGCCAAAAATTTATCGTCGAAATGTTCAAAAAAAAGATAGGAAAATCAAAACATTCAGCTTTTTTTCGTAAAACCGAATCATCGAAATAAAAGAAATTTAATAAATTTTCAATTCAAATTGAAGCAAGTCAAAAAAGTAAGATGAAATTACGTTATTAATTTTCCTCAACAATTTTCCCAGAATAGACAAATTATGATGATCGCGAATCTGCAGTCAAACGATCGATATTCGAAATGCGTTATCCCGATCGATCCGAGTCGAACACAGTATTTCGCCAAATACTATGCACACTATGCTTGCTCTATTGAATAAATCTAACAAACTAGTAGCAAAAAAAAAAAAAAAAAAAAAAAAAAAAAAATCTTCGTTACATTGTAACTACGAAATATTAAACACAGTTCTCAGCGTGCCATTTGTTCGAATAAAATAGAAGAAAATCAGCTCGTCGCCCTATATCCAAGCTTCAAAATACAAAATTCACATTGAAATAGATCTCTCTACATCGCTGTTCGAGAATAAGGATCAGGTCTCCTCTAACCCTGCGTTAGACTCGATGCGAAATTCGTCTTGTATCTCGATCAAACTTTTCCCGGTGTTGTCTTTGACCACGATGGCGCAGAATAAAGCGATCAGCCAGCATATGGCCGCGGAGAGCCACATAACTTTAGTGCTGCCCAGGGAAATGATCATCTCGTCGAAAGTCAGGGTGCCCATCATCGAGATCAGCCATCCGAACGCGACCGCCATCGAGACGACCGAGGTCTTCAGCTCTTCCGGAAGCGTGTCCCCTAACAAAGACCAGGAAATTGGCCCGAGACCTAGGTTGAACGCGGCGAAGATCAGAGTGATCCAAGTGGGCGACATCCAGAAGTAGATGTCGTCGTATTCGGGGTCGCTGTCGCGTAAACTGAAGAACCAACCTGGAACAGATGGAACGGAACATGAAGGAAAATTCTATGTATATAATTGTTGTGTTATTATTCTTTTTTAGAGGAATGTTATTGGATCGTTGTTTGATGGATGGTATCGGGTTCGAGATGGTGAAGCGCGTTTCTTTTTTCGAACAAATTGATCTTGAGTCATCGTTTGTTTGATTATGCCGATGATGTCGGTCGATGTGCTGAAATTTGGAATAATATGAATATATCTGATTTGGAGTTTGAACGGTATTGAATGATTGATCGATCGAATCGATAAAAATTGATTGGTTTTTGAAAATGTTTGATAAAATTCTCTTCAAGGAAAATTTTACGTTGAAATTATACAATATCTATAATTGGATCGTGGATATTTATGCTTTTATGTAAAATGCTTCTGAAAGAAAATGGAGAAAAATATTCAAAGTATAGGGCGTATTTATAACGAGAAATAAAGAAAGTTCTCTATTTAAATTTTTTTCAATTTTGCATAAAAATCCGCAATTCGATCATAAATATTATTTGCGTTACGAATTCATTCAGAAATATAATTATTTACGTATGTAACGCGTAATAAAAGTAATAAATATTATAAAATAGATATTAAAATAGCAAGAAAGCGATTGTTATTCAATGTCAAGCATGAGATATAGTTTTTAAATTGCCAACGAATGATCGAACCAATTGATACACGATCTATTTTGATTTCTTAATACTATATGCGCGTGTTCCGGAAGTATTGCAGAAGAGGTCGTATTTTAAGCTGGATTAAAGCCAGCATCGCAGATATGCTCATCGAACAAATCATTTTTCTCTATCAGTTAACAAATACAACAAAATATTATACGATATTTACACAATTTACATTTATAACACATATAGATATGCAATCCGTGTAAATTGTAAAAATACGTGATATATCGAAATATGAATTACAAAATTTTTATACTTACTGTTAATTTTAATTAATTCCGAAAGTATAATAATTATACGTAGAAACAAATTAATAGCAATATGTAAAATCACGTTTTAAAAACTGCAAAAAATGATTATAAATTCAAAATTACACTTGTATTTCTCTCAATTGCAATCGAGAAACTGGTGAAACGAAATATTTCGTTCGATAATGATTTTTTTTTTTTTTTAAATTTGAACGATCAAAAATTATCCCGCTGGAAAACTATGAAATACATTATTTCGAATTAAAAATTAATACTATACGATGATAAAATAAGAACGCAAGGAATGCTTGGTCCGAGAAATTTGCCGTTGCAACATTTATTTGATAATAAAATGGTTTACCTAGCAATATGAGGAACAATCCCATGAAAAGGGAAGAGACGGTGAGGAGAATTCGACGTCCAAGTACGTCGACCAGGAACGCGGCCAAGAGACATACTAATATTTGAACGGCGCCGACGACCAGCGTCTGTTCGCTTCCGGTCAGTTCACCGGAACCAGTGGTTTCGAAGAGCATCAGGGCGTAGAAAATCATCATGTTGACGCCGCACAAATGTTGGCCCAAGATTATTCCGAAACACGTCGCCATTGACCGCAGTATTCGACGATTTTTTAACAATCGTAGGCTGAACTGATGTCGAAACAATTTAATTATCATAATTCTCATCCAAATCTAAATTTTTACACTAAATAACTATCAATATCGTTTTACGTTTTTCTTAAAACGTGCCTTATTCATAATTTTGAAAATTAAGAAAAAAATATTTCTGGCAAATTTCTATTAATTTTTAATAATTTATAAATTTAATAATTTATTCTTAATAATCGATACGTATATAATCGAAAAGTATATGCATATTTTTATTATTAACCCTTTAACTTCAGAGTGCTCAGAAATATACACACACAATTAAAATACATGAAATAATACACATGTAATGAACGTCCGAATAAGTGTTGTTGTAGTCAAAAGGTTAACAGTTTCTTTTCTTAACAACGAGACTATTCCATAGAAGGAGAAAATCGTACCTTTTTCGAATGAGCGAGAACGAGACGCTTCGTTTCGTTGATTTCGTGCTGGACATCGTAAGTGTCGCCGCGATACCATCTCAAGGATTTTTCTGCACCGATCTCGTCGTTCCTCGTCAAATAGTAGAGCGGACTCTCGGGTAATAATTTTGTCGGGGCGATCGAGAGACACGCGAGGCCACAAATTGCGCTGTACCTTTAAGAGAGAGAATTGATCAGTTTTTCGAAGAAGCTCGTATCGTATATATATATATATACATCTATGATTTAATAAAACGTATCCCACGTGATCGAGGGATAAACAATCTGTGTAAACGAGTATAATTTCAGATTCGATAAATCAATTAGCCAATAATATTCAACGTTAAATTCGTTGTTTGTTAAATTAATTAAATGCTAATATTTATTAATAAATACGTTGTTCCTATATATCGTATCGATCGATATTGGTTAAGAAAGCGCGCCATGAATAATGCATGCAACAAAATAATTTCAATAATTATTTCTATGTACATTTTCGTTGCAAAATTTCCGGTTGTTTGTCAATAACGAACAAACTATTGAAATATATTCGAATCTACTATTTACTTAAATGTTAAATTTATATCAAATTAAAGGATAACAATCGATTGGCATATCGTAACTAGATTTTATAAAATATCAAAAAAAAAAAATATTATTATGCCATTCGTAATATTCTTGATAAGAAGATTTAGAATAATAAGTTTAATTTGTATTGATTAAAGATTAATTGAAAGATAAATTTTGTTTATGGGCAAATAGATTCCAGAGCTCGATGGAGAATTAATTATAAAAGTTAAACTTTCTTTATCATAGATAAATTGATTATAAAAGTTTCAATGATATAAAAATTCACAATATGCAAAAGAATACAAATTATTCAAAGTATCCTTTATATACTTAATAAATAAGCCTCAACCATTTTTCTACACCAACTTTTATATTTATCTGGGCTTTAAAATCGATCCTTTAAAAGTATCTCACGAATATATTAATTCCCCCCGTGGTAAACAAGTATGAATAAATAATAAGTTTCAATTTATTCCTCTATTTTTGTTAGTCTGTTCCAAACATACAGGATCTATTCCCTTGACGTGGCAAAACTTTTGTTTCGAACGATTTTTGCCTCGAGAGATATTTAAAAATGGGACATTTTGTACACGTGTTCTTCATTCCATTTTAGTTATACAATTTACGTATCATTTTTTCTTAGCTGTACATAACGAAACAATAATTTACACAAACAGCAGCAATTTAGAAATAAGATATTCGTGTATATACCTCCATACAGATTTTTGTTCGTCGATTGCATGAGCCACGTAGAAAGCGTACATCACGCCACAGTTGACTAGCAGTTGAAAAAAGGCGAGCAAACGTCCACGGATTTCTTTGCTCGCTATCTCAGCCACGTAAATTGGCGTCAAAACGCAAGATACACCGCCACAGATGCCGCAGATCAATCTTCCAATCAGGAATAACAATACCTAGAAAGAAAAAATAGAATAAATAAATAAAATCATTGATATAAAATTATCATCTCGTTTTCGAAATTCAAAATTTGAGATGAAGTTCAAACAATTCTCGAGTATCCTTATTATTTGAGCATTATTTGAATCCTACGAAAAACTGTTTTTTTTTTTTTTTTATTTTCAAGAGAGAATCGTGACGATGAATGGATTAAATATCACGAATATATTGGGTTGTCTGAAAAGCTATCCTCCAAGACCGATATAACGATAGTTATAGAGCCGATACGATTATGGTTATAGGATCGACACGATAACGGTTATGAACCGTATTCGTGGCCACGATTCAATATGGAATGGTTCGTTATTGGTGGTGTAAAATTTCTCTTGAAGGAATATTATATCGAATATTTTGAAAATATTTTCAAAAAGAGAGGTTTGTTGCGTCCGAGAAGGTCTGAAATTATCCTGTGGTCCTGTGTTATCTTGCTTCGTTTGTATTTTGTTGTATTTATGAATTATTCTGGTAACAAAGATAAAATGTATTAATGAACGTTTATTATCGTAGAAATATTATCTTAAATCTTTAAAATAATGGTTAAAAATCTTTTTTACCATGCTTCGTATGAAAATCTCTCTTTAAAAAATTATCGTATATTTTCTGGAGTGGATCGCATATTTTCAGCTTTTTTCGAATGTTGAAACGATCTTCTCTTTTAAAATTTCGACATTTTTATAAAACGCTATAACGAGAAATGGTAAAGTACAGCAATATATGGAAGTGAATTCTAGTTAATCCCTTGGATGATGAACACTCTGACTCAAAATCTTCCTATGTATGATGCACCTATATTCTTTAGATTTCACATGCAATATTCATTCCTATTTTGCATATAATAAGAGCCTTGCATTATTTCAGCGTGCTTTTAATAAAATCTCATTTCGTTATATATTTCAAATTATGTTTCTAATTCTTGTATAATTATTCTTTAATCCACCAATAACGAATTATCCTAATTAATTATATAAAAATGATTCAAAATAATTGTTCTCCTATGATATTTCTTGAAAAAAAAAGGAAAAGAATTCAAAAGGCTCTCCTCGAAAGGCTCACTGTCAAAACTTCAATTCGATATATTATTTCCAAATGTTAGGAAAAAATAATATCTTACATTTATTCTTAAACTTCAAGAGGAGTTTGAATATAATTCTCACCTTCTGACGACGATTGCTGATCATCAAGGTCCACGTAAGGATGAGAACAGGCATCGTCCAGAACAAGATGTTCGTTCTGGATATTCGTCCTACAATGAACGGTATCAGGATCGCCCCTATGCAAATGCCACCGTTTAAAATGCCCCCGATCAGCCCGATTTCAGTCGCAGTGGCATCGACGTAATTCCTCAGCACTATGCTGGCCTTGGAATTCCAACCTAGCGAGATGCCGAGCGCAAAACCGCCGAGGGATGCTAAAATTTCATCAACAAACATGTTTGTCAATCTTCCTTTTCCCCCTTCTCTCTTTCCTCTCCTCTCTCGTTCTCTCTAAACTCTTTCTTTGCCTCTCTTCCTCTTGCCTCTCGTGCCCATTCGTGCTAATTGTTGCTTAATTCAAACTGTGTTAAAATTTTATAATAAAGGGAATTTTATAATTAAGACGAAAGTCCGTTTCTTTTTCGCCATTTTTATTTCTTTGGTCTTTTCGTTTTTTTTTTTTTTTTTTTTTTTCTTTCTTTTTTTTCTTTTTCTTTCGATGAGAAGAGAAAAGGGGAAATTGGATGCTGACAAAGAGCACCGTCTGCCCGAGTTTCTTCAACGTGTTTCTCTTTCTGGACACGATTTCCTTTGCTCGAGAAGTGATGTCTAACGAATGTTAGGTAAACGAAGTATGTACGAGTGAAGGAGAAAAAAATTTAATAGACGGAATTTGATAAATTAGTAAGAAATGAAAATAAAGGTTTTTTTAAAGAAAAATTGTTAATCTTCGATTTGTTTTTTTCCTCGCTAATATTCTAATCTACCGTGATTCACAGTTGTCTTCTCATATTATATTCTAAATAAAAGTACAGGATTATAAGAGATACGATAACGAGTAATAGAATAATAAGATAAATCAGAATGTAAATGCAAACCACGTATACTATGGATTTAAATGGCATATTGTGAAAAACCTACCAAGAAACCAAGATGAACCTTAATTCTGCAACATAATTTGATCATTTATTCGTATTCTTATTTCTATAATTTATATGAAAATCATATCAAATGAAATATTACAATTATACGTCAAAATGAAAATATCCGATTCTCCATAAATCCAAAAAAAAAAAAAAAAAAACATTCCAAAGAAATCGAAAAACCAATATTCCCAATCATTCGAAATTTATATATAAAAAGGAAACGAGCAAATATTTAATAATCCAGATAAATTAAAAAAAAAAACGCATAAAAAAAAATCATGGATGATTAATGGACTATAAAATTAATATAAATATAGATTCTAATAATTTTTATCAATTTTCTTACCTTTTTTTTTTTTCTTTAAACGGAAGATGGACAGATTCTTTTTAATTTGGAAAGAGTTATGGTATCGAGAGATTTTTCAATGCATGAAATATGGAAGAAAGGTTAGCTCACCTACGAAGGCTCCGACGTATTGGTTTAATTTTCGGATCTCGGCCACGTTGTCGTTAATCGATGCGGTGGTCATCGTGTTAAACCAAGGATGTAATTTCCCTTTCGAACAATTTCGCAACGTCGACGATTGGAAAACAAGTCGACTCCACGAAATGGGATCGTAGTCGAATCGAGTTCCGATTTTAACGTGGCAATATCGACTTTGGAGTCAATCGTAAAGTCAATCGTGGTTCGCCGTTCGTTTTGCGTAACAAAACATAATCGCTTTATATCGTTTGATCGAAGATTTTATCCGGTTCGTACACTCACGGCTAAAATCTTTTTTCAAAATAATATCGCGATTCGTTTCTCGCGTTTAACGATATCGCTCTCTTTTCTTTCGCTTCATAATTTTTCAAGATAATTTTTCGAGATAATTTTTTTTTTTTTATTTATTAAAAATTACCAGAAGGAAGCGCTCTAGTGATTTCGATCTTCTTCTCATTTCGAGCTTGAAATTTGTCACGAACAATGTTTTAAACTAGTTTTTCCTATACGCGTAATCGTTGTTCACCTTCAGTTTTCCAGATATCGATAAAAATATTTTTACGTGTCGTAGATAATTGTGCAGTTTTAAGGAACTTAGATGATCTTGACGATGACTTTTGATGTGACGACTATTGATGGTCGAAAGTTAAAATTGTATTATATCAAATTATATGTTATTAAAACATTTTAATTTATTCATGTTCTATTTCATGAATATTTCTGATACAATGTAATATATACGTAATTATAATTTCGAAAAATTTATCAATAGTTGTTAATGATATACTTTGTGAGTAAAATAAAAAGAATATCTCTTAGATATTGTAAACTCAACTTAACATTTGTTCAATATTAGTTTGTCTATTATATTGTCAATTATGTTTTATTTTTAAATAAAATTAAATAAAATTTTGGATTTTTAATAAAATTAAAAGATATCCTAAATCGTTAAACCTTTCGTTCTGGATAATTAATTTAATTTAATTTCTGGATAATATTTCTAAATAGTCATTACATGACGAGTTATATTTAATTAATATTCATCGTACGCGATGAAATAGTTCTATTTATTTCTGTTCATCATTAAAATTTATTTTTCGAGACCCGTTTCGGTACTTTTCAATGGATCCGCAATACGTTCCATTTGGAAATAAAACGATTTCAATAATAATTGTAATGATCAATGGAACGACGGATTTATCACATAACACTCGTATTATAAACGTGTACTGCTAAAATTAACCGTATCCACACGTGTACTCGTAAAATTCATTAAAATTTATTTCGAAATTGATCCTGATACCGCGTTATAAGCGCGAGAACTTCATTAAAATTTATGTCAACGTTAAATCCTGTTCCGAACAATTAACAAATACTACACGTTACGCCAGCCTTCGCGCTTTTACAATCCAAATGGAAAATCCATCTCTATCAATCGGATTTTTCAACTTTTAATAAACGTTGGATATTATTCGAATGAGAAACTTGGGCAAATAAAAATTTGTCGTTCGAGCAACGATGAAATATTCCATTTATTTATTTATTTTTTTTTTAATCGTTTTATTACACGAGATATATCCCTTGTTGTCTTTTAATTTGTAAATTTCTATCGGATGAATTCGTATCGCGTTTATTCGATTTGTCATATTTTCCGTGTAATCGTCATAAAGCGTTGGAATAGATACGATTGAATTTCATTTGATTGAATTTCGACGGAATGAAATTTCAGTTAATGCCCGTTCGATTGAATTCTCGTTGATTGAAACTATTTATTACTTGAACAGCAAATTCTCCTATTATTCGAATGAGAAATCATAATCAATTGGGAGAATCAATGGACTGATTGTTATAAACAGTTTGCCATATGAAATTGCTCTAACCAAGTAAATGAAATTCCATTGTACGTGAAAGATAAATAAAGAAATTTTTCAAACGACTAATTGATTTTTCAATTTTCTACGAAATTTTATCCTTCGACAAACTAAAAAAAAAAAAAAAAGAAAGAAAAATTATTTTCCAAATTCCTTAGGAAAATTTCAAGTCCGTTTCCGCAGTGAAAGTAGTTCCGTCGTTAAAGTTTCTAAATAATTTACTCAGGAGTGTGGATTCATTCGTGTTGAAATCATTTGGGTAAAGATTAAAGCGTTGCCGAGTTCCTTCAATTTCTTCGTTCTCCTGGAAGCAGTTCACTCGACAGGAAACAGAAGCTTGGCAATTGTGTTACAGATTATTCCGTGTAGCATTTCCTGTAGCACGGCCTACAAGTTTACAAGCAATTAAGCGAGCCGCACAATGGTAAACGCTAACCCTTGATTATACTCCGTTTATCAATGCTGCGCTCTTAACCAGAAACCATCAAGTTATAGGCGCGCCCTCGATTGATTCATTGGTTGCAAAAGGATAGCCATCGGGATGCCCAATTATGTCGTCAGTCATGATTACCGCGAACCTATCAATTTTGATTGGAACATGTCTGACGAAGATGCCTCTTCTCGGATTAATTTGATATGGAAATTGGTCAAAAAAGGTTAAAAATTCAATTATTATAGTATTTCATAGTAGTAAACTACTTTGTTTTTAATTTTATTGTAATATATTGTAGAGATTTATATTTTTAAATTTTTTATTTTTTATTATTTTTTTAATATTATGTGGAGGAAGGGATGTAATCTTTCAATTTTACACGTACTTTTTGTAAGATGTAAACTCTTTTGTAAATTCTCGTTTAAAATATAACAAAATCTAATTTTAATTATATACATGAATTTAAAATATATCGTAAAAGTGAGTTATTTTGGGAAAGTTATTCTTCTTAAAAATTTTCTTTTTGCAAGTCAAGATGTTTATGTTTATTATGCTCCATTATTATGTTATGCTCCATTTATTGTAAACAAGTTTTTTTTTTATTTAAATAATTAATAGATGAAGCGTGTTACAGCATTTTTTGCTAGATAGCTTCAACTAACTTGGCAGCAAGGGGCCAATATCATCTTTTCTTTTACTACTATATTGACCCATCAATGTCGTCCTCTATGCGTCGTATAAACTGTCCTTTCTTCACACTCCATTGTCCTCCATACACCGTGCAGATTCAATTTGTTCTTTTATTTCATCTTCTCATCGAACTAACGATATCGATAAATATCTAAATGTGAAGTTCAGTGTCAAAAGTAAACTACGTGAGAAATTTCACTTTTATTCCACAGGATAATTAGATACTACACGAACTGCAATATAAATCTCTGATATATATATATAGTGGTTCTAAGTTAAAAAAAAAAAAAAAAAAAGTTTCATAGAGTAAGAATCTTTTGATATGGAAAGAAAAGTCATCTTTGTTAACTACAAGAATATATGACTCGTAGTATCTCGAAACTTTTTTTTTACTTCCGTAAAATCTAATGTTGTAAAAAGTTTTAATTCTTTTCCTTGATTCGGTTCAATTTACTCAAACTCTAGAGTTTCGAATCTCCCCTCGTGATTTTAATTGCTAATTTCTCTCGAAGAAAGGTTGCGAACTTGGATATCATATCTCGATTGAAATTTACATTTTACAAATGGTGGGTGGAATAAATCATCTACGCGCCGAAGAGATTGACGAGCAGATTGTAGACCTTTCCGCTCTTCCTGCTTGTAAACTGTTCCATTTCATCTTGCTGTCGCTTCGATCCATCAAATAAAGCCGTGTCGACGCAACCAATTTTCGTATCAGTGCCACTTCAAGATTCTCGATGCAAGAAGGCAATTTTATACCGGACGTCGGGCCATCTCTACGTGCACTATACGCCGCTGCCTCGTGAAATCGAGCGACACCTGACGAAAAAAGTACCCTTCATCCTCTAAGATAACTTTTCTAATATACTCTTTCCAAGGAACAACAACAGGATGGACATACAGATTTCAAATCTTTTATGAAGAGCCAATTTCAAAATATATTTCAAAATATTTTTATTTATTAGAAGATGCAAATTTTCACTGAGATATCGTTGAATCGATGTTTAATTTGTAATAAATGTAAATGAAATAAACATGAAATAGGATACAATTTTAAAGTATTTTTATCTATTAACTTATCTGTTTTTATCTATCTATTATTTTTACACAAGACTTTAAATTTTATTCGATGTCATCCAATCGAAGAGGGATATCTAAAAAGAAATAAATTTTGCGATAATTTTTATAGAATAGCTGTATGATGCAAAATTATTCAATTTGCTTAAAAATTGAGGTAAAGAGTTAACGATAACACGTTGGCTGGAGCGATTATCGAACGGCGAGATACACCGATAAAGCGCTTAAACATGTGCATTAACCATAAATTCGGCGAGCAGGAATTTTCGAATGTTCCTGGTGAATGTTAATTTATCGATCTCCTTTCCCTTATCCACTCTACGAGCATCGATTCTCTATTCAACCAAAGAATTTATTATTTTTCTTCTATGTTTCATAACGAAAGTTTCACTCGTGTAATTCAAGATGAAACGAAAATAAAATTTCTTAGACCTAGTTGTTTCATAATTGAAAAGATATTATAAATAATTATGATTATTCTAATTACCTTTATTTGCCTTTTACCTTTAATTGTTTGTTAAATAAATTGTTTTGCAATTTGTAAGATTATCTACTTATTGTTCCATTTCAATTTTTTATTTCATAACTGGAAAACGGATGTTATTTAAGTTGAATATAAGTTTTCTTTATGTATTAATTAAATAATACCTATAATTATAATTAAAATTAATATAATATTATAACAAAAATATAATAAAAAAAAATGAAAATTATTCTTTTCTTACCTTTTCTTAAAAATTAATTTAAAATTAATTTTCCATATATCCATAATCCATATGCCGTTGCATATTTAAGAAAATTCTTCACGATTAAATTATAGTTCACTATTGGCACCAAGGAACAATAAACATAATCGTTAATAATCGAAAATGTTTTAAAAATCATTTGCAATATTATCTGAAGTATATGCTAGAAAGATATCCGAACGAAATGCATTTTTTCAATAACAAGATTAACTCACTCCACCTACGCAAA